CTCGTGATTTTTTGATGATCATTGTAGCTACTCCAAACTAAACTACATTAACAGTATCATCCGCTATGTTAATACTACAATAACGATATTTCAATGATGCTGAAAAAGGCAAACGTTAATAGCCAAAATTTGGTAGCCCACATAAGACACACAGACCAAAGTGCAGCAAAAAATGAGGTATCAACAGAAGAACAAATCGCAACTATTAACCTAAACCAGTAACTGAAAGCTAAAACAAAGCCAAAATAATACCTGAACTAAACACTAACCTGCGGTAACCACAAAAAGACCGACTAGTTCCGATTACAGTCCGTTGTACTATGGTGTTCGTACCACTGAGAGAGAAAAAAGAAGAGTCTTCCCGAGCATCATTGCAAAATTTGCATTCTCATAATTGCATAGTACCTTATTGAAAAAACTAGTTGGTTTGGCAACCTTTAGGATACCAGTGTCACCAGATGATCTTCGGTAAGCACCCGACTTTCAGCAAACTCTTCTGCTATTTAGAACCCCGCTCAAATATGTGCTATACTTCTGTTGTCACTGAGCTTATATACCTCAGAAAGCAAGAAACAAGGATGAACAAGTTTTTCTGTTTTTCCTTCTCCTTCCACCAACTCATACTTTACAATTAGAGCAGTAAAAAGATGAGAATGAATTTCTGATTTGATATTTTTCAGTACGCAACAATTTCGTTCGTTTTTTTCCACTAACACCCTACCATTTTGGCTCATTTCATTTAAGTTCACCTCAACCATTTTGTAGTTCAAAATTGTTGCAGAAAAAAAAAAAAAGAAAATTGCATCTTTAATGAAATGAGCAAAAATTTCTTCGACTTAAGTAAACAATAATAAAAATTCAAAAGTTTAAAAATGAAAAATTGTTTTTTAAAAAAACTTTATTTTGATTATAAATTCAGTACTAGAAAAACTCATCTGTCAGCTATATTAAGTAATTTAAGCAAAAAAAAACTATTTAATAAATGTTGCAAATGAACGAAACGCGGAGAAAAAGAAACAAATAGTTTAACCTATAAACAGTACACAGATAATGAGCAATATTTTTCTAAACAGAACAGAACGTTTTTCATCTGTTTTTTTTTCACAAACAAAACAGAATTTTTTCAAAAGAAAAAAACATTAACTAAACGCTACAGCAATATTTTAAGAAGAAATTCATTTTTCAGCTCCTATGTCAAAAAATAAACCTTTAGAAAATTGAAAAAAACAAACCAACTCAAAACTGATTGTCAAATTAGACAGCCTAAATCGCTGAACGTCGGTTTTCAAAAATTTTTTTCTGAACGATTAACTTCAAAAAAAAAAAAAAAAAAAAAAAAAAAAAAA